AATTCACTTTCTTTTTATATGTCCATTTTATAATGATCTAAGGGCTGATCTTTGTCAATAACCCTATGCAATTATGCAAATACTGACAGTCTGGGCTTGCTTCGTCGCTACACAAACTGCCACACCATATAACAAATATCTATATCTTTTAAAAGTTTTCAAGCGACGAGATGAATATGAATTCAGCTTAACTTAGTACCATATGTTTACATGGATGTTGTATTGTGTTTAAAACGTGCTATGCACTTTTCTACCCATTACATTTTGTACGATAGGCTGAGGCCCTGTACAGAAATAAAATTACATAATACAAAATTGACTAATACTAAAACGAATAATTGTAGACAGATTTCGACATGAAATCGTGTCACTTTTATGTGCGCTAACATCTGCGAAGAGCGAACAAACTCGTAAGTAGCCTTGTACCTTACAATACTTGGACAATAATGCTAAGATACGTACAGTCTTGTCTTTTTTGTGTACAACATTTTGCCGTAGTGGATCAATGGTGTGGATGTGTTTGTCTGTAGGTGAAGAATGGCTTAGGACCCCTTCTCTAAAATGGTAAAATAGTTCAAAGATGTTATGTGAAATATCTTACCAATAAAATTTAATTTAAAACCGATAATATAAAAATATCTGTAACAGAGCTCAAACACACTTTTTGAATATTATAAAATTCACACATTTCACATCAAATATATAATTGTTGTTTTCGAACCCCCTATTCAAAAGTGCTGGCTACGGGTCTGGCGTGACAGTCCAGCTATTCCTTGGTTCATTGTTGTTACGTTTTAAAACGACTACAAATTGCGTGGTTCACTGAATGCACTGTATTAGTTGTGCTGCTGTCTTAGTGTCATTTTTTTACGTCAGTATCCAACCCTTATATAGGTCGAGTATGCAATATATTTGGTTGCTTTAGTAACTAAGGTTCAAAGATAATTAAGGTGTTTGCACCAATAGTCTTATCATTATCATATCACGCATGCGCGTGAAGTAGAAATTGTTTATACCAAATGTTCGTAGTTTGTTGTCGCTGTCATTGCGTCGGTAACTTGATTTGATGAAATTGCTAATCTTGAAAATATACACAAATCCCTAAACTGTGCTAATGGTATTACTAAGCGCTTTAGTATGTTTACAAGTCTGTCTGCGTGCCTTTAAAACCCAATATGTCAGTTGATTGAGAATTCACTAATGGAATAGAAAACAACCAATTAAAGTCATCTATATACTGGCTTCTATATGCCCCTCTTCCTATTATATGCCCTGCAACTAGACAGGGAGTGTATTCGATATGGCCAAATAGCGGTCGTGGTCCGCTACCATCTGTGGAAGTTATATTTAGAAATTTACATACTAAAACTACGACCTTGGGTAGTTCATACTCACCTTGATAAAAACCTGAGGTTCACTTTCCGATTAAACCTGACATTTTGCCTGACATTATCGTAGTGTTAAAGTGTCATTTTCAATTTCATATATTGAATTCGCTCGATTTGAAGATTAAGAGAACAATTGTGCTTGCAAAGGCCAACAATCTGAAAATCTACACGTAATATGAATTTAAATTGGAAGTAAAATTTAGATATGTTATATAACGCCACCGTAGTTCAATTCAAAATTTACATCGTTTCGTTATTTTAACTACAAATTGTTTTCGTATTTCTGAATAGGATACAAGATGGTGACAAATGTGGTGAAAAGAAAACCACCGATTTTTGTAATACAAACATGTTTTGTCAATGCTATATTACGTAATTGTTTTGACTCTCATGTTGTTCATTTTGATTATTTAACTGTACTCTAGTCGTTTTCAAAAGTCCATTCACAACAAATATGTTTGTACAAAACATACTAGAAGTACACAGGTAAATATAAACATATTGAGTCTCTATCGCTGCAAATTCTGCCTCGTATATATTGTAATATCATGATTTCCTACATAATCTATGCCCCTTTGTTATAGAACTTTCTCTAATGTATTTATTAAATGAAAGAAAACAAAGTATTGTTTTAAAAGGAAAATATCTTTTTGATAGAAACCTGAACCAAACTTGGCCTAAATTGATTATTTATCTTGTCAACTACATATATACTTTTGAAGAATTCTGGTTCTCATTCTTTCAATGTCAGCAGCTTATCGCATGGTTCTCGATTGTTTTGTCGCTGTTGAGGTTGATACTGTCGTTGTCGTTATTATTATATACCATTATATATATATATATGTGTGTGTATTAGACGTTTTTAAAACGGTTTTTAACATATTAAGTTAACTGGAGTGACGATGGGAAAATGCATTATGTTCTTTGTCAATGTTTGTAATAAACACTCGGGCAACAACACATATACGACTGGGTACGTAAATTCGGAAGCTACACAATACTAAGCTTCATGGGCGTAACATTTTGTAGAAAGATTGTTCTGTTCGAGAGTATACGCCTTGCATTTAAAGCTATTCACGTTTTACAACGTCTTTTTTGCTGACGACGGTGTTTTTATACATGGTATTGCTAATGGTGATTACAAAGTACTTTTGACCTTCCTCTTATACCAAGTACAATACGAATCAATTATAATGACACGTTTTGTTCGGACCGTGGTATTATATTATGCGCACGTAGGGAAAGTCGCGAACTATGCTGTTAACTGTAGAGCTCAAAGTCCCGTACGTCATTAATTATCGCCTGAGGATCGGAAAATCTGAGCGGGGCAGTGGAAATTTGACTAACTTGCAATGCAATGGGTTACAGAAAGATTTATTTAAGAAAGAGGGCCAAAAATTATGAATTTATGCGAAAGTGAAAGGTTTAAAAAAGTAGAAAGTAGAAAATAAATAAATATAAAAAGAATAATAGTTTTATTGCAACATACTGTGAACATGACTTGTACTGTCGTCCTCTTTTTGTTCGGGCGATCGATTCTTCGCTCAGTTTATGATCAGAGTAATTCAGTAGAACCACTCAGCTTGGCATTTCGAAGTAAACTAGGGGATTCCATGCACCAATCACAGGGTACATAGTAGCACATCATTTACATAGTTTAAGTGTACATGTAATTTAATAATATTAAAGTCGCCTTATCGTCAAATTTGTCCTGGTATCAAGGAGAGCTAAATTCTGGAGGCCTCTCTAAGGCGCGGTGTTATACTGAATTAACTCTGCGACATAATAAGGGGCTAAGCCTCTTGCTGAGCATTGTATGTGCTATTTCCCATAATAGTGTGCGTCGTGAATCGTAAATTTATATGGTTCCCATCGCGTGATCGATTTCAACAAAATGGCGATTACTCGATCCTTAGTCACATCAAATTTTACGTGACATTCGCCTTTTGTAGGGTCACTTTGTCCATGCAATTGTGTATAAAAAATGAATATTTCGGTAAGATTTGGTCATCTTTATGTGGTTATATTTAAAGCCCCCGAAAATGACAACTATTGCCGCTTTAATGACCACAGGTGAGATTTTAAAGAATTATTGGCTCATGAAGTTTGAGTGTATTCACTGCGCATGCACGTTTGTTTGTTTACATTATGAAGGAGTCGTCTGAAAACTAATACAGCTTCGTTTTCGTCTGCAATTTTGAAAAATATTGTCAGAAAACAATTAGCGTCGCTGTTGCCACTGTTTAATACTCGTGTTTGGAAATTAAATTGAGACTACAAAATATACTCAGCAAATTTCGTGGTCACGCAGAAATGTGAAAAATATTAAACTAAAATATTTATTTTAGACAAATCAACAAGAAAGTTGCAGTCTAATTATACATGCACCAAGTTCACAATAAAAAAACAATTGTTATGATGCCGTTATTGAATTGGTACTAATTTTATTCGGTATAATTAAAAAAATACCTACTTCAATGTCAATATTCAGTTTAGATAACTGACTTTTTGTAACTTGATGTTTTCGTAACTCGATGTCCGTAACTCGGACAATTCGGCTGAGGTGACGTGCCGTATCACATAACCTTACGGTGTTACGTACATATGTGCTTTTACAAGGTCTTACACTACATATACAAATAAATGTACCTGAGTTAGATGAGATATAGGCACTAAATAAATGATACTTTGTTTTCAAAACAACTTTTTTTTTTATTTACCATGACCATGAGTTTAAAAAGCAGCATACCAGTACGCCTTGGTCTAAAATGTCAGGGTGTGGCCGGCGTAAGCAATTCATTTTACGTAAATCTCGTGACCGTATTCTCGTGAGTGTA